ATAATTTGTCTTAAATCTCATTTTGTAAAAAAAAAACAAAAAAAAAAAGTGAATCGAATGGTGAAATCAAAATAGTGAATCGAATCGAATCGTGAGTTGAGTGAATCGTTACATCCCTACTGCTTATTACGTATTGCCAATAGTGGCAATTATCTGCACCTCATCATTGTAATACATTATAAAACAGTATGCAATAATAACTTAGTGTAAATTTTAACGATCGCGTCAAATGTGGATGACGCACGTTTTACCATCTGCGCCACTGGAGCTGACGACTAATGACCGTCTTTTGTAATGTAGAAAAAAAACAGGGGGGGAATGTGCTGCAGCACCCCCACTTCCCGCGCCTATGATGTATACACAGAGGAATGGCTTACTACTATTAGTGCAGCAGGGAGACCGTGGCAAATTAGACAACTCCAAGCTGCTGTGGTCGCGCTGTGACAGCGCTCGTGTCCGTTGTATCCGTCACAGTGTTGCCAAGTCCGCGGTTTTCCCGTGGAATTGGGCTACTTTATCACTGTTGCTGCGGGTTGTTTTTCACGTCCGCAGGTTGAAGCGACCCCAATAACGTGTATTTTAGACCCCAGAATGCGATTTTTACCGGGGGACCCCTCGAAACGCGGTTAGTTTTGAGTAGCAATTGGGCGGGTTTTGTTATGAAAACCTGGCAACCATTTCCCTCAAGTAGGTAACCTTATTATTGCTAACAAAGCGGATTTATCGAAAAATACATTGGCATCATCTGTATTAAAGAGAAACTAATTACTTCATCCGATGTTTAAGTGAAGAAATTAGCCTTGACAGCCTTGCTTACTGGACTTTGTTCTCTCTCACCGGACTTGTGTGTGTGTAGGTGATGTAAAAGCGGAGTGATACAAAATTGTGAAAGGACGTTCCTGTAGCGATACCAGTACAATATCTCACGGTTCTCAACCAATCAGATTTGAGAACCAGAACGAACTGTTGTATAAATAAATATATATATTTTATATACAGATTAGCACTACTCTACAATTAGCTCAGTGAATAATTAAAAAAAAAACAGACCCGGCTAGAACAAGCGGAGTGATACAAAATTGTGAAAGGGCATTCCTGTAGTGATACCAGTACAATATCTCACGGTTCTCAACCAATCAGATTTGAGAACCAGAACGAACTGTTGTATAAATAAATATATATATATATATATATATATATAACCTACATGGTTTCTTTATTTGTTTTTAACAGCAGAATTAATATTTATCCATTTACGGATAAATATATATAAACCGCTGTGCCGTGCTGCTCATATTAATCACGCAGTAAAAAAACAAAACCGGTTGCCTGTGGATGAGAATCCAAAACAAGGACAGGTGGGAGGTTGTCCTGCTGCACTTCACAGTTGCCGAGTGAAAGGAGAGTTTTATAATGACAGGACACACATTTATACAACACTTATTCAAAAGGAAGAGCCGTTCGTTCTGCGCATCATACGTCATTACGCTATTTCTGCGTCATTGCACATGATCGAGTGTTTACATGCACTCTCAATCGTATTAGAAAAGGAACAAACCACCCCCTTCTATCCGATCGAAATTTCATTGTCGAGCTCAATCGGATCGATTAAGGTGCTTACATGAAGGCTTTTCAGTCCGACTGAGCCATCAATCCGATTACAAACGGATTATTTGGTTGCATGTAAACGTAGCAACAGAGAGGATTCACGAGCACATTGCTCAACGCTACAAAAACACGTTGGAAATACAAACTTTTGACGTTCTCCAGAGCTCAAACACAAATATGCACAGGAGCGTTTACCAAATCTATTTCACCAATATCCTATTACATTTTCAACTTAGGGTGCGGAGTTGGTGCTAAAGTAAACTCAAGACCAGACACTGAGTGAGTGCAGAGGTGGTGGTTATATGTGGGAATAATTAATGGGTGACAGGTGAACCGGGTTAATACTCAGGTGATTGGGACCATGCTGGAGTGGTGATTGGATCTGGCGGGACAGGCGTCTCTCTGACAGCAGTCTCCGGGATTGCAGAATCATACTAATTTGTATTAGGGGCTTCTGTTGTCGTATTATAGCAAACTAAACCTATTTGTTTTACAACAAACTTTTAAATCACGGCATTATGATGAAAAATAATCTTGAAATTTAAAGTAATGATGAGGGGAAACTAATATTGCCCCAAGTAAAGGTACTAAAACTACTTGCAAAACGTGATGTTTGATGGTTTAAACTCTTCTATTAATGGCTTTGAAGGCCAGCCTGAAGTGCTGCACTAAGATAAGGGATCACTGCATGAGGGTGTGTAAGGCAACGGATTGGTGGATACTCATGATAGAGGCTGGGTGTCTCCCTCCTGCCCTCACTGCACATTAAGATAAGCTCCTACTCCTCAAACACCCAAAACTACAGAGCTGAATGACCACATTGTTGCTGCTCTAATACCGGAAAACACTTTCATGGCTGAGCAGAAAAATTTGTAAGTGCTCTATCTATTCATTATCATTTTTGTCTCTTTTTATTTCTATTTTATTTTATATTGTACTGTTTTTATACAGTGAAAAGAGCTTAGAGGAAGACAGGGGAGATGAAGGCAAGAAGACAAAGAAACACAAGGGCCAAACATGGGCTAAAGAGGGGCCACAAGACCCTTTTGAAATGGTAACTGATAATCTATATGCGTGATATTTTTTATGAGAAGTATGAGTATATTTACCTGTTTCTTATCAGTTGAATTTGTTCCCAGCTGGACTCTCTTTCTGAGGAGAAGCAACAAGAGATTCAGAAAGCCCTACACCTGTTTTCTTTTGGTCATGGGCCTCCAAAGAACCTACAAGAGGCTCTGAGACACACATACTGCTTTTGGGATACTCAGCCAGTCCCTAAGATAGGTATGATGCACAGTGCACAGGTAGAAACAACATGTAGAAACTGTGTGCATGTCTAACAAACGGCATTCATTCTTTTTTAGATGAGAAAGTGACATCACACGGACCAGTAGAGTCAGAGAGGCCCAGTGTTCGAGAAGAGCCACTCTCACTGCCACAGGAATTCATTTGGGACACACTCAACCTCGACAACCAAGAGCAGGTGAGTGAGAGGTCTTTGTGAACCAATGCAGTCCCAAAATTATTTATTGTACAAGAGTGAACAAAAATATCCTTAAAATCCAGTGATGGACAACATACACAAATACTACTTTTGCTATGGCTTAATTAAATATTACTATAATAAAAGTTTAAGTACTCCTTTTAAGTACTCCTTTTAGAATGTTATTTGCACTTAATTAAAATGTATTATAGTTTAAATATATAGTAAATGCAATTAGTTGAAATTAAAAGTGCTTTTTGGATTTTAGCCCAATGTATATTTATATGTAATTTCATAATTATTTTTATTGCAATTATTCATAATATACTGTTATTGCTGTACTATACTGAAAATTGACTGTTTACTATTGTCATTTTGCATTATTGACACTATTTTCCTATTTAATGCTGTAAAGTTGCTTTGACACAATCTGTATTGTTAAAAGCGCTATATAAATAAAGGTAACTTGACTACTAAGTACATGTAATGTGTAATAAGGACACTCTAAAATAAAGTGTTAAAGTATACTTTTAAGCACACCAAGTAATTGATTTAAGTGCACTTTTTACAAGTGTACCTTTTATTATGTTTTTGCTATCTGATATACATCCCCATGCTCAAAAAACCTATTTAGAGGGGCCCAGATAGAGGGGTCTAATGTCCCAACAGTCACACATACTAAGCCGTGGCTCTACGTGTCAAAATTTAGTATTGACTAGTCAAAATATGAATTCCAGATATCTATTCTGCAGTTTTGACTCATAATTGGCATCAACCAACCCCTTAAGAGGTTTTTTTTTTATTATTAGATTTTTTTCTTGTCCACTACAATGGACTACGGAAGAGGATTAGGGCCAAGCAGTAATAAAAAATAAAACCTTCTCGAGAATAAAGTCATTATAATACGAGATTAAACTTGTTAAATTTCGAGAAAAAAGTCGAAATAAAATGCAGAGAATAAACACACTCGGGCCATGTTCATTTGATCTAAATGGACAGTGTTAATCAGCGTCTGCAGTGGCGCCGGTTGTAGAGCGTATGGATGAAGCATATGATGAGGTCGACCAGAGTTCGTATTCGCCTTTTGCCGAACTCGCCCTTCTTCCTTTTTTCATCACATATCACATCGGAAAAGTGGAAATCAATTATTAAACACTCGTTAGGCAATGATGTATTAATTGGGTAGGTTTAGGTGTAGGTAGGCTATAGGTGTGTTGGCTTTGTTGTCAGGGTGTCCGCGTGTCCTTAAAAAGTCTTAAATAACGTTTTCCTAATATAAGGCCTTAAAAAGTCTTAAAATGTCTTAAATTCAGATTCGATGGGTCTTAAATAGGTTTGGTCTCATTACCGCTAAAATATCTTCAGTCTGACGGACCTAATGACTGTTTACAATCATTGGACAGACCGAAGATTTTTTCTTCCCCGCGCGGTAAGTTGCTGCGTCATCAGAGAGAATTGCAGTAAGTTAGCAGAATACAGAATGCAAGCTCGCGCTGAAGCTCACTCTGTTTGTCTCGAGACTTCAGAACAAATGAGCGTGACCGCACACATAAACTCAGAAGAAACACAGTGAGGTAAAAATTCAAAATGTTTAGTTTATTCATAACATGATATAGTTAAATAACACCATGACAAGTGAGCTATTTTGCTCAATGTTCTCACGACGCAAAAAAACATTCAAAACACCTACAGAGTGCACGCATTACGTGAAGTCTAGTGCGC